GTGTATATTTATTTATTGTTATGAAAGTAATTGAAATGTAAATATCAGAAACTTATTAGACTAGATAAGGTTAGAATAGGCTAGATAATGGTAAAAAAACATTTGTTGCTCACGATTAGCTTATGCATTGTGTCATTCAGTACTTTAACTTGAGCTATGCATTTGCCATGTAATTCACAGCTTGTATTGTTAGTTAGACATGATTTTAAGATCAACAAAACAATAAAAGAAAATAAAAACAGATGTGAACTGTTATCAGCCTTAAGCTGTTTAGGAGAACTAATCATAATTTTCTGTTAGTCTTTTTTTTTAGAAAGAAGATATGGCAGTTTAGATTTATTTGGTATTTTTTGTGTGGTGGTTACAAGGTTGGTGAAATCGACTGAGTGCATTTTGTGTTAAGAGTAGAGAAAATAACACATGATAAAGAACTTTCTAGAATCACTTAGGAGGCTTTAGAGGCTATGTAAATGAAATTTGAGCTAAGATTATGATAAGTATTTTCATTCTTGACATGAAAATCAGACTAGTCAGACTGGCTATATAAAGTCAGGGACAAATTTTTACTAAAAAATAATTTATGTGCACAACAGACCTTTTTTACTAGAAACTTGTTAAAATTTGTGAAGATACACGTTGTTATAGTATTTTATTTCTGTACTTATATTTCAAATTATGGTACTTGTTCCATAAATAATGATTGATTAAAAAATACTAGTAATGTAGAAATATTTTAGTAGGTTACTGATGTTGTTTCGAACCTATATAAAAGCTATCATGAATTGATCAATGAAATATGACAGAGGTAAAAGGTTTCTCAATAGTGTATAAATATTTTGTTAGGTTACCAATGTTGTTTAGAAACTAAGAGTTATCATGAGTTGATCAGTGACATGTAACAGGGTTAAAAGGTTTCTCAGAAGCGAGCATTGACTTGATAAAGAACTATGGTTTTCCTTAGGAGGTTGGGCTGGAGAGTTTGGAGCTGATCTGTCGGAGACTTTAGGCAACACTCCAGAGCAAGAAGACATTTCTCTTGATAGTAATGCTGACCTGGATAAGGTTTCCTTATATGGGTAAGATGAACAGCTAGCTACCAAACTGTTCTTTTATCAAATATTTAATTTAGCATTTAGAGCCATGTCCTTCTCTGTCTTCATACATGAAACTAATTTTGTTTTATTCGTTGCTTGTATATATTCATCACGTTTCATTTCTAGAATTATTATACTTTTCTCAAAATTTGTGTTTTCTTCTGTGTGGATGTTGATCGTGGGGGGGGGGGGGGACTGAGTTCTGATTTTTGAATTTTCAAGTTGATTTTATTGGTTTTCCAATTTTCTTAATTTCTTATATGTAGATGAGGTACATGATCATTATGGACATCAGTAGAACCAACCAGCTACTGATGTAAATAGTTGGTATACCATGAGACTGGTGTAGGTACATGATCATTATGAACATCAGTAGAACCAACCAGCTACTGATGTAAATAGTCAGTATACTATAAGACTGGTGTTGGTACATGATCATTATGAACATCAGTAGAACCAACCAGCTACTGATGTAAATAGTCAATATACTATAAGACTGGTGTAGGTACATGATCATTATGAACATCAGTAGAACCAACCAGCTACTGATGTAAATAGTCGGTATACTATAAGACTGGTGTTGGTACATGATCATTATGAACATCAGTGGAACCAACCAGCTACTGATGTAAATAGTCGGTATACTGTAAGACTGGTGTTGGTACATGATCATTATGAACATCAGTAGAACCAACCAGCTACTGATGTAAATAGTTGGTATACTATAAGACTGGTGTTGGTACATGATCATTATGAACATCAGTAGAACCAACCAGCTACTGATGTAAATAGTTGGTATACTATAAGACTGGTGTTGGTACATGATCATTATGAGCATCAGTAGAACCAACCAGCTACTGGTGTAAATAGTAGGTATACTATAAGACTGGTGTTGGTACATGATCATTATGAACATCAGTAGAACCAACCAGCTACTGATGTAAATAGTCAGTATTGGTATACCATGAGACTGGTGTTGGTACATGATCATTATGAACATCAGTAGAACCAACCAGCTACTGATGTAAATAGTAGGTATACTATAAGACTGGTGTTGGTACATGATCATTATGAACATCAGTAGAAGACTATTTACATCAGTAGCTGGTTGGGGTATACTATAAGACTGGTGTTGGTACATGATCATTATGAAAATCAGTGGAACCAACCAGCTACTGATGTAAATAGTCAGGTATACTATAAGACTGGTGTTGGTACATGATCATTATGAACATCAGTAGAACCAACCAGCTACTGATGTAAATAGTCGGTATAGCATGAGACTGGTGTTGGTACATGATCATTATAGCATGAAACTAACGATTCTTAAGAAGAATTAATTATTATATACAATTTTTTGATAGAGAGGAAAGAAGAGCTAACAATCTGTATCAAGAAATGAGCCATAGAGAGTTGGAGTTAGAGCAACAAGCAGATACATCAAGTAAGTTAGAAAATGTTCTGTAATTTTTTATCATACTGTTTTATCACGTCTACCCTATCTCAAAGGCAAAATTGAACCACTAAATTTAAAAAAATGATAGAAAATAAACTTGTAGTCATTCTTCGAAAAACATTAAAAAGAACAACTTCAGAGTCAAAGTTCACTTAGGGAAAGGTTTTTATTTATTTAAGTTTATGCATAAAGAAAGATCAAGAAAATAGCAAATTTTGATTTCAGCTCTGATCAAAATCATTAGTGAATTTCTAGAATTTTTTCCAAGCACAGTACAGCACTCTTATCCGTCTAGGAGGGAAATCGTAATGGCTTTGAACAAAATTGTGCTAATTTAACCTTGTAACTTGAGTACAAGTTTAGTTATATTGATTTTTATCCTATCCCTGTTTCTCAACCTTGGTTGACAAGTACGAAGACATAGGCTGGTGATGTAAACACAAAATGAAAGCAAACTCATTTTCTGCTTGTTTCAACTCTATGAGCCAGTGTGGTTCAGTAGATATCTGTGTAAAGGTCAGAACAATTGATTAAAGTTTAGCTAGGTGATATGTTACTAGAAGAAATGATGTTTCTCAACAACTTCTTTTAGTCCTGATTTTATTTTTGTTAAGGAAAACTTTTATCACTTTATACTTTATTTATTAGGAAAAGAAAAAGTTTTGTGGAACAAGGTGCCTAAGCTTAGTTAAACCATTTTTTTATACTGACCACTTAACTGTTTAAATGGACAATGAAAATCATTTAAAAGAAATATAAAAAAAAAGAGAGAGATTAACCCCCTTGATAAGCAGATTAAATAAAAGTTGGTTTGTTTGTGACTGTGGTTTGGGAAAAGTTATTTTTATTGCATGCCAGTGAAACTATGTGTGTGTGTGTGTGTGTGTTTTCAATTTAAAATGAAGATAAAATTTACAGATATATAAAATAAAAACTTATGAAAGTTTTACAAGAATATGGAAAGGCATAAACAATCTGTAATGAAAATCTACAGCAAAGATAAGCATTTTCAGTTGTTTCTTTAAAAAAAAACATATTGCAACAAAATGTTTTAGTAAGTTCAAAGCTGCAATTTCATACTAATATAAGATATTTTAATTGCAAGAGCTACATTAGCCATAGAAAGTTCTTCTGAAGTTTCAAACTATTTTATCAAGTAATTTTTTATTGGCAATGCAGTAAAAAAACCATACAACACCTGGGTATTGTAGAAATAAATAACAAAATTTGGCTGTTTTTTTCTCTGAGTTTTTAACTGGATGATGTCACATTTTCTCTTAGCCTTTTGCTAGTTATTGTTATTAGTTTGATAAACTGGACTTATTTCAGGAAGCATATTACACCACAAATAGTTATATATATATATATATATATATGTTGTGTGTGTGTGTGTATATATAGTATTGTTTGGTTAATGATGTACTAGTGGTGGT